TCAACGATGAATATCTCGTTAGTCCAATAGCCGACGTAACCCTTTCTGAAACAATGATTTATATTTAAAAATACGAACTCGATCTCCAACTTTGAATTTGGGTTTAATATTCAAATTGCTAATCTCGTTTTCAAAGTTGTTTCGAGTGTTGACGGACTTTATGATATTCGGGTTATTAGAGGCTTGGGATGGCGTCACACCTATAGACGATTGTATTTTGTTATTGTATTCGTCGACAACAACCGGTAATATTTTAAGCCATTTTTGAGATTTCAATTCCGTGAATTTCTTGAATAATTTGCTTTTAAGAGTCCTGTTGAATCTTTCTATCACTACGGCTTTACCTTCGTTATGCGTGCTGTAAATTTCAAACCCCAGAGATTTCACATTTCTGTTGTAGAATTCGCTTCCTTTATCAACCCACAACTTTAGGGGTCGTCTGTCGGATTGTTTCATTATGGTTTCGAATGCTTGTTTGACAGTCAGACCCGGTTTGTTTTTCAAGGGAAAGACCCAAGCGTATCTCGTGTATATGTCGATCACCGTCAAACAATACTTGTACCCTCTCTCGACAGGCATGTTGATTAAATCGGCTGACCAAATTTCATCTTTATCAAAAACTTTGACTTTGAGGTAATGTTTGTTTTTTCGAAATTCTTTGTGAATCTCGTCTGCTATGCCCATACCCAATTTCAATTTTGCCTTCAAGAGTTTTATGATAAGAGCCCTCTGTAATTTCTCTTTGAAAGTGGGATTGGGAATATTTTCGAGTTCGTCTATCATATGTTTGTCTGCTTGGTGTCTGAATGTTACGTCTTTATTTCTGTACAGTATGTCGTGTTTGAGCGCTGCTGCGTCAACTCTATTAACGGGTTCTTCCCCTGGTTTGGGAATATCATTTTCGTCTAAACGCAGATCTAACCTAGTGCCTGGACCTGTATAATTGTGCCCTGGGAGATGTTTTTCTCCGGGATATTTTGCCCATGGGAATCCAGGAAGAGAACCCAATGACTTTTGAATGTCTCCCGCACCGAAATACGTTTTAGGAGGATGGACATTTATTAAAGACATATATTTTTAATACGAAAGATTTAATACATTGTTGTTTGAGACAAAATTGGCCACTTTGGGGATGAGAGATGTTAGCGCAGAGAAGAAACCGTCTCCTTCGAATTTTTTTTGTTCGTGTTTTAAAATTAAAGACATTTTTAATGCGGTTATTTTTTACTGTATTATTTTTTAGTGATCTGTGGTTTGGGTAATTTAAATGGAGTCTGTTATAATACAGTTTGGAGGAGTCTGTTATAATACAGTTTGGGGAGTCTGATATAATACATTTTAACAGTTGTGTCTTTTCGGATATGACACATTGAAAAAGCTGCGCATGCGCAGAAGTGAAATGCGTCATACCCGAAAAGACATATACTACTAAATTCGATTACGTAAAGAGGAGGTTTTGGACCTATTATCTGAGTATAGGGCTTTAATTCGCCATGAGAATGTTGCTCCAGGTAGTGGCTCTGTCCGAATCTCGGAATTAAAGCACCAGCTCAGATATTTAGAAGACCTAAAACTTGAAGGGGCCCGTATTCGATCGAAGGCCGAGTATTTAGAAAATCATGAAAACCCTTCTCGCTTTTTCCTGAAAAAAGAAAAGGATCGTGCTGTAAAAAAAACATATAACTAAAATAATAGATGGGAATAATTATCATACCACCAATAAGGATATCATATCTTCTTTTAGTAACTTTTATTCATCTTTGTTTTCTAGGGAAGATATTGACTTACAAGGAGCCTATAGTTTCCTTGAGGATTTGCCTTCTTTGGATGATCTTTCCAGAGACTCTCTGGTTCCAGGAAGATCAATTCTCGACAATGGTCATCTGTTGCGTTCAGTTGTGGACTATGTTCAGGAGAGAAACTTACCTTTAGCGTTCGTCTGTCTGGACCAGGAGAAGGCTTTTGATAGGGTCAGCCATGATTTTTTATTTTTAACTTTAAAACATTTTAATTTTGGGGCTAATTTCCAAAAGTGGGTACGAATTTTACACTGTAATATTTCCTCGGCTGTGATCGTCAACCAGCATATTTCTCGGCCATTTCAGGTTACACGCTCTGTTCGTCAGGGTTGTAGGCTGTCACCACTGCTTTACATCCTGGTATTGGAACCCTTTTTGCTTCGTGTCCGTAAGGATCCGAAGATCGTTGGTCTTGCTATTCCGGACTCTCCACCGGTTATTGCCAAGCTATCCGTTTATGCCGATGATACCACGTTTGTCAGCTCTATGGTAGAGCATCTGGTGCTAAACTTAATTTGTCTAAATCTAAAGGATTATTCTTTGGTAAATGGGCGAACCGTGCTGACCATCCCTTCGGCATAAGCTGGATAGATGGTACTAAGCTGGTGGGTGTTCCTTTCGGTGACGTCACTCGTTTTTGGAGGGAGCTTTTGGATAAGATTCGTAGTTCTTTGAATCTGTTCAAATCTAGACACTTTTCGGCAGGTCTACAATTTGTAACATGATAGCTTTGTCAAAGGTGTGGTATGTAGGCTCAGTCCTCATCCCACCTAAGAGTTTCGTTGATAGAGTTCAAAGACTATGTTTCGAGTTCATCTGGCCCTCCAGGAACGAGCCTGTAAGAAGAGATGTAATGTATTCCAGTAAACTTCTTGGGGGCTCTGGGATCATTCACATCTCTTCTAAGTTGAAGGCCTTCCGCATTATGCATATAGTGCGAGGCTTTCTGGGTTCCAGTACCAAGTGGTGTTCTGGGCTGAAATTCTGGCTGGGGTTACAGCTGAGGAAATATAACCCCACTCTTTGGAGCAACAGCCAGCCCCATGGATTCTTTTTACCTGTATTTTATAAATATGCATATTCCAATTTTTTAGAATTTTTATCCATTGCAGGAAAAAAAAATATCGATATTAATTTTAATAAACTCACCACGAAATCCATATATGATGTTCTCCTTTTAGACGTCGTTTCTGTGCCAACTGTAGTTGGGGATAATTTTAGGACAGTCTTTAAACATCTTCATCACAAGGATGTGGACCCCGTGACGAAGGATGTTTCTTTCAAATTGATACATAATGCCCTTCCTTTGGCAGATCGCCTTTATGCCAGGCATCTGTCCAAATATAAAAATTGTGTTTTGTGCAATGCGGGCATAGAGAATATTGAACATTTATTTTTAACTGTATAGAAGTAAAACCATTATTGAATAAAATCAATGAATGGATAAATATACTTACCCACGGGGTTATTAAAAATCTTACCTTCGATCACATTCTTTTTATGGTTTTACCCAAAATACCAGCTACAGTTCTTTCTTTAGTGTTGATCCTGATGACGGAATTTAAGTACGCTATTTGGATCAACAGGAATTTAAAAAAATTCGAGCACAAACCAATTAATCAATCGCATATATTTAATTTATTTATTTCACGTCTAAAATTTCGTGTTAGAGTTGACAAACACCGCTTGTCTGAAACTTCTTTCAGAGGGAAGTGGTGCTCAAGTGATGTCTTTTGTAGCCTTGTGGCGAGTGACATAATTTTTAACTTTTAATTTTTATAGAATTTTACACTTACTTATTTGCAATATTTATCTGTGATACTTACTTATCTGTGATTCACTTGATACTTACCTGATATTTTAATTTTTTAAATTTAGTTCTGACTGACTAACTTACATTTCTTACTTACCTATTTAATTTTTAATTATATTCAATATTTACTGTAATTTTTAAATTTGATTTTGACTTCTTTGGTTTCTAGCAAATGAAACTGTGCACCCGCTTGCGCTTTCAATTCCTTCGAGTAGACCTGTAAATGGACCAAAGTGTTTGGTCTCGAAATTGGAAGCGCGACCGGCTGCGCAGTAAGTAGTTTGCTATCTAAATTCAAACTTTTTTGACTGTATACCGATTTAACTGCCTACCTTTTGATTTTTTTATATATTCAGTATTTACTGTAATTATTCATTTGGCTTCAGTATTTACTGAATTTATTGATTTGATTTTGCTTCTTTTTGGGGTTCTGGCAAATGAAACTGCGCACCCGCCTGCGCTTTCAATTACCTTGAGTAGACCTGTAAATGGACCAAAGTGTCGGGTCTCGGAATTGGAAGCGCAGCCGGTTGCGCGGTAAGTAGTTTGCTATCTAAATTCAAAATTTTTTTGTATGTTTGTATTATGTTTTTTATTTTTTCAGGTGCTGTGATATAGATCAAGTTTATATTGTAATTTTTATGCTTTTTATTGTTGTATATTGTTGAATAAACTTATTAAAGAGAAAAAAGCATCTGTTCTTATCAGCTTTATATCTGATACGTACCCCATCGGGGTACTTCGATATTAAACTGATTTTTGGACCTAGATGAGGTGCCCGGAGCTTGCTCCGCCCTCATCACGGGTTGCCCTGGTATTGCAGTACTTCCAGGCGTGGCCCACCCTCATAATACAAATGAAAAGAATTCCCCCTTACTACCATGCCAGCTTACTACTAGCAAATGCCGTACACCTTCCAGAAGTGGGAAATTGGCGTGTGCCTCACAGCTCGGCTGAAAATCGACGTTTGACCTACGTCTCACACTGCTTGTGCAAACCAGAATATTAATAGAACGTAATGCTCTGCTAAATGTATCGAAATGGGTTGCACTGGCATTTGCGTAGTCTGAGTGCAAAAGAAAGAAAGAAAGAACGAACGAACGAACGCTGTTCACAGAGAAGATCTTTCTTATTTTCCTTTTTTTTTTCTTTTTTTTTTAAAGACCGACTGTGTCGAGACCATCGCGGAAAGGTACAAATTTATATGAGGTCCCAAACTGACTCTAAGCGGGCTTGGCTTCTCGGCCTTTTGGCTAAGATCAAAGTGTAGTATCTGTTCTTACGCTAGGGTTTTAGTCAAGTAATGAGGATTAGTATCCGGCATAAATGCGTAGCGAGAACGCCTCATTACAGCCACATAGAGAAACGACTTTTGAGTAGGTTTCGTTCGCTGTTCCGGTGGTAAGGGTCGGGCACTTGTGCTCCGACGGCCCGCTAAAGGCCTGCTAAGGGTTACAGAGCTCTTGTAGTTCTGTTTTTCTGTTAGGTTCTTCCAGTTACAGAGATAAGCTTTTCTGGTTACGGAATTTTTCTGTTTGTTCTCACTATGGATATCAAGTCTAGTATCCAAGGTAGAACTATTCAATTTTCACAGACCTCAGGGAATCAGTTTGTCTACGGACATGACTTTGTTAAGATCTTGGAAGAAAGTTATGTTGATCCCCAGAGGATTGTTTCTATGGGTTCTGGACGATCCAACAGAATATTTCAAGTTACTGTAGATGATGAAAAAGTATCAGAACGTTTTATAGATAGTCATCATACTGTGTCAATTAGGAAAAATGTTTATTCTGTTTCTGCTTGCAACAAATCGCGATTGATTGTTAGGTTGTTCTGGCTTCCTGAATATATATCGGATATTGATATATCTTCTTTTTTCAAATCCTTTGGGTTAAGTGTCGCCTCTATACAGAGAGAGTTCCATCTAGCGGACGGGTTAAAGCATATAAGAACGTTAACTCGTCGTGTTTTGGTAGAAGGTCGTTCTTCGTCCTTCGACACTTTACCACATACATCATCAATATGTGGGAAAGAAACATTATTTTGCAAGGAAGGCCACCAGTTTGTCTTAAATGTTATAAGGCGGGACACTTCAGGAAGGAATGTCCGTTGGGTAAACAACCTTCTTATGCCAATGCTCTTTTTTCGGCTGGTGCTAGTGTTAGTGCTGGTGCTCGTAAAGGTGCTTTTAGTGGTGCTGATTCGATTAAAGGAAGACCAGGCTTCGTACAAGCCTCAACCATTGTGTCTAAGCCTTCTAGACTGCCTCGTCCTGCTGTTTCTCCTCCTCCTCCCCCTACTCACGTCACGTTGTATATAGATAGACTGGGTGGTGATGGGTTTTATACACCCAAGAATAATGCCAAAAAGCGGACTTCTTCAGAGTCAAATTTAGTGTCTGTTAATGTTGCGAACTCTTCTCATGAGGAAATTGTTTCCACAAAGAAATTTGCTTTTCAACCTCTTACACCACCAAATAAAAAAGATACAAATCTTCAATCGGCCAAATTTGTTTGTTCGGCAGCTGGGGCTAATAGTGTTCGTCTGAAATCTAATGTGCCGTCTGCGTCCAAATCTTCTGTAGGACGTGGCACTGATGATAGTAGTTCATCTGCTATTAATATTATTGCAGCTGATGTCATTTTAACGCGTTCGTCTGGCGATATGCCGGTGGAGGATACCATCGTTGAAAAGTCTGATTCTGCTGGAATTTCCGATTTTGAATCGGAAATGGATCAGTCTGGGAGTCTGCATATGTTGTAAAACTCAAAAGGGAATTATCTGGATGTCAATCCAGGTCAGGGCAATCATCTAATGATGAGGTTGATGTCAGTGAAGAATCCTCTGAGGAGGATCTTCCTATGTAATTTTTTGTACCTTTAAAATCAAAATACAAAATCATGTTCAGAATCGGCAGCTTAAATTGTAATGGGCTTTTGAGCCAAACTGTTTCTTTATTTCAGCTTTTTGCGCAACCTTCTCTTTATGAGAAGGTTGTGGCTTTTTTAATACAAGCAGGTCTTTGTTTTAAATTTTAAATATTTTGATGGTTTTTAATACCACCATGTGGTGCCTTACCTGTGATATTGTTTTTAGTGTTTTTTTGTAGTCATTAAATGACTTTTTCTGTGATATGGTTTTTATCGTCTTTTTTGTTGTCACTATGTGACCTTTATGTGATATTGATAGGTGTTTTATTGTTTTAGTTTTTTTATTATTTTAACGTATTCTGGAGCTATATAGCCCGTTTGGTGCTGATGCTCCTTAATACATTTCATTTCATTTCATTTTTGAGCCAAAATAAAGTGCGACTTCTTTCCTCCTTTATTGAATCCATAGATACTGTAATGGATGATATTAACCCGGTTGACATGGTCAGTGATGTTATGGATAATTTAGCTGACACTGAAAAGCTAAATGATATCCTAAGTAGCATGACTCCTGGTCGGTTTACCGATGGGGAGGGTTTCGGATCGGGTGAAGAGTCTTCTGAAGACTCTCCGATTAAATTTCTTATTTACTGGTTTTTGATAATGTACCTATATATACTTACCTTGTGCTTCTTTCTGCTAATATTTATCAAGATGACACTCAATGTTTCATCCATTAACACAAATGGTTTGTTAGGATTTAATAAAATCCATTATTTATATAACTTTTTAGCCCTTGAACGTTTCGATGTTGTTTTCCTACAAGAAACACACGTTTTAATTAAAAATG